ATAATAATGGATAATATTGTTTGTGCAATTGATAGAAGATAATACAAGTGTTTAAAAAAAAATTATATTAATTTTAAAAATAAAATTTTTCTAATGAATTTATTAAGTTGACAACAGCGCATATTGTGCTGTTTTAATGTTTTGGTTATATAAAAGAATTAATTATTAATATATAATAAAAAATATATAATATATATATAACAAAACGCTTTTAATTTTATTAATTATATTTTAAAAATTACATATAATTATATTTTAAAATGTGAACTTATAATTATTTTTATTATTTTTATTATTTTTTAATAGTAAAATAAGATCTAAAATTTTCATTTGGTTTACATTATTTTGAAATAACAAAATAAATTGTTTATAAAATTTATAAAAATGAGTACGGAAGATGAATATAATATAGCCACAAGATATAGAACTGTTCGTAAACATTTAGATAGTTTAGGCTATAAACAAGCACTTACATTTGATGCACTTCCACTAATTGAAAAATTGTTGGCTGATTTGATACAAACAACAGAAAGTTTGAAACATTTTAAAAATATTGCTCAAGAAAATATTGAGGTCTGTATTTATATAATTTATTTTTTTTTTTTTTTTTCTAACTTTAATTTAGATTTTATATAATTGATATAAAATTAATTGTTATTTAATTTAATTAATTTTATTTAATTTAATTATGAAATCATCATGATCTTTTAAGACACCCTTTGTATAAAACAATGAATATGATATTATAATGTATTGATATAATAAGAAAGTATTTAAATATAATAAATATTTTAGTATAAAAAATTAATTATATAATATAATTTATATAATTGAATATTTTTATTATATATTATAATATAGACACATATTCAATTACAATCAACAATTGATCCTTATAAATGTGATAATGTAAGGCTAGTGCAAGAATGTAACCAGCTTCATTCAGATTTGATAAAAGAAAAAGAAAGTCATCAAAAGCAAATTAAAGATCTTAAGAAAGAAATATATAAATTAGAGCGTGAATGTAATGATCTTCAACTATCATCTTCTCGCAATTTACATAGAATTAAGGAATTAGAAACTGAATCTGCTAAGAAGTCAAAAAGAATTTTGGAACTCCAAGGAAAATGTTTAAAACCAACTATTAGCAATGTTGGATTAGGTAATTTTTATTGTTTTAATTTATTTATTATTATAATTTTTATTTAGTATTATTTTTTTATAATTTTGTAATTTAATATATTAAATATTTTAAATGTAATTAACAATTGATATAATAAGTTTTATTATAATAATTGCTTTAAATAGTTAAAGTTCAAAATTTTAAAACATATTTTTAAAAATTTTTATAATTTTATCTTTTATTATGACAGCTTCTAAGAAACGTTCTGTTTTCCCACTTCGAAGACCAGTTATAGAAAGTGAACCATTACCAAAAACAGGAATTAAATTTACACCATTACCAAATTTAAGCATTGTGGAACCGAAAATTATTGATTTGTTAAATATGGCAGATCATAAGATGAATTGTTTGAGTCATGAGGTAACAAATTTAAAAGGAGAACTCTCTTTACAAAATGACAATATACAAATATTAAAAAGTCAGGTATATTATTGTTAATTACATTGCATGAATTGCATGAATCTCTTAAATTTAAAAGTAGTTATTCCATTATTATTAATTACAAATGATATTACATGATAATATATAAATATTGAATTTTGAATATTTATTTAAAATTTAACAAATATAAATATATTGTAAAAATATATTTATAGTTGACTACTAAAGAAAAAGAAATTTTACGATTGAAGAAAATGTTAGAAGGAGGTAGACCATATTTAGCTGTTTCTAAAGATTATAAAAAAACAGAAAATAATTATGTAATATCCGATAATGTAAATGATGAATTAAAAATACTCCAACAAGAAAAATTAGAATTAGAGCAGCAATTAAAAGGTATAAAATTGTATATCCTTTTTAATATAAGATTAAAAAATTTTTGATATTATTTATGTTATGTCATGTTCATATAGAAGCTTTAAACAAACAACATGATGCTATGTCTCAAGCACTTAAACTTGCTGATCGAAATGAGGAATTGGAAAAGGAATTAAAAGACATAGATTATATTGCATTAGCAGTAGAAGCTGATTGTAACTCAACAGTTAAAGAAAATAATAAAAGAGTTTTTAAATTGCAGGTAAATAAAATTTTGTAATTTTTTTTAAGAATTAAATTATATCTAAATATATTATTATTAAAATTTAAATTTATATAGGAAAAGTTAGAGAATGTAACGACAAGAGTACATGTATTAGAAGATGAATTAAGTACTGAGCATAGAGAAGTACAAGAATTGAGAACAAATCTGGAGACATGTAGATTAGAGAAACTTAATATTCAACGAACTTTGGAATGTACTTTAGATGAAAAAAAGCAAATGACTGATAGAATAAATGAATTAACTGTAATTGGTATAGAATTTTCTTTTTTTATTATTATATATATAATATTAAAAAGTATAATTATATAATTTTATAGAGTTAATAAATATTTTTTATGATATTATTTAATTTTATGATATTATAGAAAAAAATTTAAATGATGAGATCGAAAGATTGGCTAAGGAAAATGAAAAACAAAAACAAGATATTATTCAATTACAATATAGTAATAAGTTATTAAAAGAGCAAATGAGTGCAAAAGATATATTATTAGATAACAATGGAACAAATGAAACTAGAGAAAAAGGAAGAAAAAATAATTATAATAAAGGTAAAATTATAAAATATAAAATGTAATATATTTATGTATGATATATTATAAAATATATTTATTTATATTTTTTTTAAAATTATCAGAACAAAATAGAATAGATTTTCAAGAGGTACATAAAGAAACAAAGATTTTTCAAGATATAAATCATGTTGGACATAACAATATATTGAAACAATTAGATGGAAAAGATATTGAAACAAATGTATGTATTATTTTGTAATTGAATAAATATACTATTTTGAATTTATTTTTTCAATTGCAACAGGCGATTGAACAATTAAGAAGCGAACGAGATTTTTATAAAAATGAATACAAGAATATTAAGGATAATTACAATAAAACGATTGAAATAGATCACGTAAAATATAATTTGTTTTTTTATACAGTTTATATAGTTTTCTTTAAAACTTTTATTTAATATTGATAGATGACCCATAAAAATTTATTTCATTTTTGCTTTTAAAAATAGGTTGATTTCTCTTCACAAATTCGAGAATTGAAATGTCATTTAAATGAAAAAGAAAATGCATTGGATAAATTACAACAAGAGAAAAGAGAATTATATCGTGAAAAAACTAATTTAGAAACACATTTACAAACTTATAAAAATGAACATAAAACACCACATCGACTTTGCAAACATGGTGTTGTATGTAATTGTTCTTCTCTAGTTATAAAAGATAGCAAGATAAAGGTAAAAATAATTATACAATAATTTTTTGTAAATATTTATATTATTTTATAATTAAAAAATATTTTTGCATTTAAAATAAGAATTAAACTACTTCATAATAGAATATATTTAATATTAACATATTTAATATTTAATATCTAATTATACTTATAAAAGTTATATTTTTTAATATAAAAGGATATTATTGAACGTCTGGAACATGAACGAGATATTGCACGGGCTGATATCGATCGTTTAATTGAAGAACGTAATGCATTACGTGAAAGATTAAAGGTAAATATTTTTATTTTTAATGTTTTCATATATATTATTATTTTTATAAATCATCAAAAAAGTAAATTTTCTAAAATATTAATATTATTAACAATTATTAATTATTAATAAATTATTAATAATGAATTTCATAATTTCAAAATGAAATCAAAAATAAATTTTAAATAGAATTTTATTATAGATAAATTTTTCATATTGTATAAATATTTATGTATAATAATTGTATTATATTGATTAATTAGATAGCAACAGAAGCACATACATCTGAACAGCGTCATTTAAGAGAAAATTTGACTGATGTTGAAACTCGACTGAAACAGATAGAAAAGGAACGACAAGAACTTTTACTTACGCAAGGAACACGAAGAGCAACTATAAAAGGACTTGAAGATCAATTACAAGATCTACGAGAAGAGTTACGACGAACCAAACAAGAATTAGGAACACAAAGAACACAATATTTTCAACTTCGGTATTATTTATTTTTTTAATTAAAAATTTTTTGAAATGTAATAGAAATTTTAATATTAAATATATTTTATAATGTAGTAACTTATTTAAATTTAAATTAGTAATACTATATATATATAAATTTATTAGCGCTCTACAAGATCAAACGGATCAAACATTGGGAGATGCTCAGAATCAATTAACGCAATCGGAATCCGAATTAAATAAAGTATTGGATCGTAATAAAACAATAGAGCGACAAAAATTACAACTTGAAAATCAAATAAAAGATTTAGAAAAAGAAATTAATAATCTTAAACTGAATATGACACATTTAGATCATGAAAAAGATCAATTATTGGTAAGTAATATAATTATTTTTAATGATAAAATATTTAATGATAAATTTATATTAACGAATAATTTTTATTAGATGGTATTGGATGAAAAGACAGAAAAAATAGCTGCTTTAGAAAAAGAAATAGCATTAAAAGGACAACAAATAATAGGAAACGAACAACAGATTCGTGATCTACAACACAAAAATGAGTGAGTATATTTATATATTTATATATTTATAAAATTTGATATATTTTTGAAGATCATTTTATCATTAATCATAATATTCTGAAAGTCATACATTGTATATATTTACAAAATATTGACAAAAAATGATATTTAAATATTATACTTGATCAAACATTTGAGATGATATTACATATAATAATTCTTTTATAATATTAATAGCAATATATTATATGGGATTTAATATATTATATAGGATTTAAAATAAAATTAAAGCATAAAACAAAAATTTCATAGTACTAAAATATTAAATAAATAGGAATTCTTATGATATACATGAGATTCTTGAGAATATTTATACAATATTCTAAAAGTATTGTACAATATTTGTACAATAGTATTTACATATATTTTGTATAATAGTATTACATATAATAGTTTAAGAAAATGCATTTTATCACTGACATATGCTATTATTCATATGTCTATTTCAATTCTTATTAATTTAAAAGTTTATTGATTTCGCTTTTTCATTAAGAAACTTTGCTAAACTTACAGTAGGTGGTTGACAACCACCCGAAGAAAGAAAATTATTACTTTCTAATTCAGAGATTATAAAAGTATCTGTAATTCTCTTATATCCAGGTCTGCATTCACATCTAGCTTTTGATTCTAATTCTTCATTTTTCCATAAACTCTGTTTTGGCATTCTTTGTGCAACTAACCATTCTCCTGCAGTACAAGGTCCTTGTGTATATAATTTATAACAAGTTTTATTTATTTCTACCATTCCTGGTGTAGATTCGCAACTGTCATTAGTTTCTTCGAAACATTTTTCTAAGTCTTTTTGTACATTTATACATCCACATACTCCATTATAACTAATTCCATCAATAGATGGTCGTACATTATAATCATACAAAACAATTTGTCCTCTCGGACATGGTCCTCTTGTTCCTATTTTATAACATGTTTTTTCTTGTGGAAAATATAATCGTCCTCGTGTGCAAGGTACTGGAATGCAAGTCGTCGAATTTATTAACATATAACTATTTTCACATGGTCCTTTTGTATAAAGTCTATAGCAGAATCCATTTTTATAAAGAACATGACCTGGTTTGCATACACACTTAGCACGAATTTCTTCTTCATTGATTATTGTATTTATTACAATAAAGTGGTGACCTTGTAAACATGGACCAATATCACCTATTAAGAAATAAATAATTTTTATCAATAACATAAAGTAATAGTAAATATTACAAAATTAAAAGAAATATTTTTTATCATTTAAAAGTATTTTCGAATTATTTTACCTAACTGATAACACATTCCAGTTGGTTCATGATAATGAGGTAATTTAGAATGACAGCCACATACACCACCCGGTAAAAATAATTCTCCTGGTTCTGTACATGGTCCTTTAGTGTAATGTTCGTGACAACCACCGCCATTACCTGTCCAATGATATCGTCCAAGTTCTCCATTTGTAGAACAAGAACATAATGTTAATCCATCTTCATCTATGGTGAGAAGTTCCCCTTTTGAACATGGTCCTTTGCTAAATTTGGGATAACATTTATTGTCCCTAGGCCAATAGACTTCTCCTTTTTCTTTGCATGGTTCTGGATCATGACATACACCCCACCTTATTCAGGATTAAAATAATATTTTTAGATAGTTCTATTATTTCTTTATTAATTATTTTTTTAATTATTAAAAATATAAAATAATTATTGATTTAAAAATTATTGATTTAAAGAACATTTTTTTTATAAAGATTTTAACATTAATTATGTAATATTTTAAAAAAGGCATATGCTTTTATTGCAGAATTAAATTTATAATGAGTATATATATATGAAAATATGAGGTTTCATTTAAAAAATATATAGTATTATAAAAAAATAAAATTTAATATCGTATCTTTTCAAATTATATAACTATTTTTTTTTTTATCAAAGTTTCAAAGTTTTTTTTTCAAAGTTTCAAAAGTTTTAGAAAATACAATTTTTAAATTAGTTATATTAGTTATATTTATTTTTTAAAAGTTAAGGTTACAAATACATTTGATAATAAAATTTTCGAAAATTGCTTTCAAGAATATTAAATTAAAAGTGAGAAAAAAAATTAAGAGTGATTGATCAATAGTAATTTTTATTGTTCCACAATAATGAAAATCTGTCGGACAATTACTCTCAATACAATGTTCACTTTCAAGAAATACTTTTTGAGAACAACTTGAGAGTTTTAGTTTCAAATGTATCTTGTAATACCTAGATCTTCCAGATATCTCTGGTACAGGTGCAAAGAACTGTCCCTTTGGACAAGATGCTCTTGTATATATCTTATGACATAGCGCATCTCTAGGAGATTGTGCAGTTCCTGGAGGACATCTACATTCAGCTATAATCCCACCTCCACCTGCTGCTGGACTCAGTTCCATTGTCTCTGGACATGGTGCCCCAATCTGTTAATCAAATTAATAATTAAACATAATAATTAACATAAACGAATCAATACTCCATTTTGAAGGAGTAAAAAGAAAAAAAGAAATATAAAAAAAATTGATTCTCTAATATATTCTATTAAAAGTACTCCAATGACTTTGTAAAGAGAAATGCAGCACCTGCCTGGAATATTTTGTAACACTTTCCATCCGGCGGCCAAAATAACAATTGCCAACCACGTGGTTGAGCGGCACAAGGATTGCTTGACGGATCTGCCCATGGAGGAGGCATTATCGCAGACTTTACACGAACCATTAATGTGAACCAAATAATTAACAATATATCTCGTAATGCACTAAAACATGTTTAATAAATTTATATTTAGTTGAAATTGAATGAAATAATTCATATAAAAATATGATAAAAAATATGATATCAAAAAAAAATAAACTTTGTATCATATTAACATATAATATAAACTTTGATCATATTAATATATAAAGTGTTTAATGCAATTGAAGTTAAGTCATACTTATAATTAACAAATTACATTTTTACAATAGAATTCTAAAATTAGCCCATTCCATTATAGTTCAATAATAGACATATTATTAATTTTTATTAGATCTTATTTATTACATTATATTACTGACTTTTAATAATATATAATAATTAATAATATTTAATAATATTTAATATATAATATTATTAATTAATAGTATATAATTAATTAATAATATATAATATATAACTTTTAAAAGTATATCAAGTCAACCTTCAATTTTTTATTAAAATAATCTATCATATTAATGAAAAATATAGGTATCACAATAATTTTTATTCAAAATTATTATCAATTTTTTTCTATTTATATAACTCTATAAATTCTTGAAAAACTATTATTTATTTATTATTTATTTATATTCACAATTATATAAGGATAAGTATAAATAATGTTTATATTATACAGAAAAATAAAACATGTAAAATAGTTTAACAGTAAATTAATAAAATATCTAAATTTGATAACATTTCGAAATAATTTAAAGTTTGTAACGTATGTCATAATATGCAGATGTATCTTTGTAAAGAATCTATTTAGATAAATTATATAATAATACATATATATATATATATATATATATATATATATATATATTATTATTTATAATCGATTAATATGAGTCAATGTAATAACAAATATTTGAAAATGTAATATCGTTAAAAATATAATAATATCGTTAAAATTATGTTACTAGTTTCTGCTTTTAGTTTGATCAAGTATCTGAAACTGAGAAATGATTGTGATAGAAAATATTGCCGCGTATTTGTATCTACATATGTCAAGATCGAGGGTATCGGTAGAAAAGAGCAAAAGCACGACAGAAATAAAATGACCATACTTTCACTGTTTCACTATGGCAATGGCATTGTCCCTGGTGGCAGGGCTTGAGATGACGACATGCATGTAGAATAAGAATACCATCTTGTTGTACATATGACGCACAACTATTGCAAGTTAAAGCAAAAACACTTTCCTCTTTTTTTTTTTTTTTTTGACTTTATCCACTTGTGAATAGACCAAATTATTCTGAATATTATTTTGAAAATAATGAAGTTCCTCCATTTAAATGTACGATAAATGAACTTTTAAATAATTATTTTAATTATATGAAAAATTCTCTTTTATTTTCTAATAATTTTCTATTATTGTCTAAATTTTTATGATTTATTTTAAATAATGTTTTAATGTTAATATATTTTTTAAACATTTCTTTAAAATTTCCTATTTTATATATAAATTGTTTTCATTGATTTTTATATGCTTTTTTAAGCTCTAAAATACTTTTGCATTTTTTATTTTTAAATATAAAAAAAATTCCAATATAATTTGATGAAATCGTCGAAGATTTTAATTTTCAAAGTCATTATCTGATTACGCATTTTTTTCCAAAATCAAGAAAGCTATTAGGAAAGATGTATGAAACTTTGACAGTTATAGATAGTTAATAGTTGCTAGACAAGCTTTCTTCTGTGACTTTCCATTGCAATAACAGAATGAGTTTAATTGATCATTTCATCATTTATTATTTATTAATTATATATTTCTTTGTTTATTATTTCTATTTTCTGAATTATGGATATTTCAAGTTGGTCTATAACATTTATGCTTTAATATAAAGTCATATAATCGTTATATCATAATATATTAGATTATATTTAATAAAATTCATTATATTAGAATTATATAAATGGCGGGTTATAATTATAATGGTAGGAATAAAAATTTTAAAAATTTCAACTTAATCATGTATTTTCACATAGAATTTAAAAATAATACAAAAAAATATTTTATTGTTGATTTTCATTCTATGCAAAACATTTATTAATTAAAAACTTTGATATTTTTATGAAATATATCATCATATATCACAATTTCAAATCGTCAAAATATAAATTAAAATAAAAATTGGATTATTTCTCATTTATATTCTAATTTGAACAAGCTCATTAAGGAGAACTAGTGCGTGTTACGGAATGTCGCGCTTCCTTTTTCCTGTATAATTATTACTTCTTATTGTCAAACTGGTATGACTACTTTTCGCAAATAAAAAGTGAGAGCGTTAGAGATGGATTCTATAGAACAAATATATGTATTTTCTTCATACACAAATATAGATATGAAATATATTTACATTTTATAATTTTATGTTTAGATCAGTGTTTTTTGAAACATAATTTTTTTTATAATAGTATAAAAAAAATAAATAAATCAAATAATTTTTTTTTTCTTTTCATGATTGTAGAAAAATTTATCGTAAAATAATTGTATTGAAATAATTGCCTCAGAAATCATTTTGTTAAAAATACTTTAGAGATCGCGCGTTACGAAAATACCGCTAGATCAAATAAAATTTTCAAATTTATAAAAATTCGCGCGTTCAAAGAAAAAAATATATAAATAAAATTAAAATGGACAAAAAGAAACACGATTTAAGATTTTATCACTTTTTGAAATAAGCATTCTGTAATGATCTCTCATAAATGAAAAGTAAGAATGTTATTTATTAAACATAACATTGATTCACGTAATCATTCATAGAGAGTCAGTATTTTTGATTAATTACTTATCTAGAGAAGTATTACATCAGAACTTTCATTTTATTTTAGATAAATTACTATATTCATTTATAATTATCAATCGAGGGAATTTAAACGTGGTTACGTAAAACCGGAATTTATAATTTATGTTTTCAAATCACTTTCGCGTATGCGAGTTTCTTTCATCTTTCTTATTATCTCTCGTAGATTTTTGATATGTGAATTCAATTGAATTTAATAATGATTTCAAATATAATAAAATTTATATCTTTTTCGAGAAATAATAAGACACAGATATTTTCAAATTTTTCGAAATATGTAGTTGAAATAATTAATATATTCAAATATTATAATAGTTGAACATCAGAAAATGTGTAACTATAGCAACACAGTTTACAATAATGACGGCGATATTTTGTATAAAATTATTGTGGGTGTTCGACTCATCCCTTCCATTCTATCTAATTTGATATTATCTAAAAGTGGTGATAGATATGTTAGGAAATTATTGGTAGCATTTATTACGTGAAGAAACAATTACAATGACTTCCTTAAAAGGTTACCCCAGCTATTTGGATCGCAACGATGACAGATTTTATAGGTATGATTCTTCTGTCACTTGTTTCTTCATTAATATATATTATTATTATTGATCAATAAATCAGATGAAATTATTCTTTCACTTAAACTCAAAGTTGCAATTCCGCTTCTAACCATTCCATTGAAATAATCGTATCAATTTTTTTCAAATTTTTTTTTTATCTTAATCGGAAGTTGTTTAAATATTACAAAAGAATAATTCTTCAGCTCAAAGAAGATTCAAAAAAATTGTTTTCTCAATTTTTTATATTACGTGTCAAAATTTTCAAATAAAAATTTTGAAATTTTATAGAAAAATATTACGGGAAGTTTATTTTACGATTATTAGTATCTATTTTGATCAGAATCATTAGCACCAATTTATATTTTTAACTATTACTTCATAATGCTATCTCTTGTCATCTCTCATTGGTTCATTTTTCGATCCACGATTTTTCATACATACATATTTTTCGCGTTTTAGTTCAGCTTTCAGTTTTTTATTCTCGTTTATATAATAATAACGTATGATAAAAATCATCACGACAAATCGGAATATATATTCTATCGTTCTTTTCGATTGGATTTTTTAGGATAAAATGTGTGTGTGTATATATCTTCAAAAAAAGAATCAGCATAATTGTTTAACTTTGGACTTTCATTGCCAACTAACTTTCTCCTTATTCGCGCACTTGAAATGTAACGATTAGCTACAGTTCATTTGGACGAAATAATTTTTAACATTGATGAAATTGTTGAAAAAACATACATTTTAAAACCTAAGATGAAATCTCCATTTTAAGAAAATTATTGTTCAATTTAAATTTGAATGAAAAGAAATTGTAATATTAAAATATATTTTTATTGTTTCGAGTGTATAGATATATTATTTTAATGAAAGTACTATAATTTTGACAAGTTATCGACGCAAGATAATTTTGGCTCGAAATGTTTTGCAATAAAAATTACTTAAAAAAAATAAGTTAAACATATTAAAAAAATATCTTCATTAATATTGAATAATATTTTATTTTCGTGGAAGAATAAATTTGAAAAATTTGCCTTATATTCAATATTTAATTCATTTAAGAATTAAATGTTTAGAAACGCGATTTCTTAACCTTAATTATCTTAATATCGTGTCTATAAGACATAAAAAAATATATTTCTCCATTTTTTAAATTCTAATAACTATTAGACATGTATACATCTTGAAAGAAATCTTAATTTAGTGGTTATGAATATTTAAGAAAAAAAAAAAAAGTGTTAATATGTGACGATCTATTTCTGTGTTGTATCTTTATCTTTATGTGTTATATTTTAATTAACAATCATTAATATGTTCGTATGCTTTCGTGAATATGTAATAACACATTTGCAATTCAGTTTCAATTTTTCAATTTTCTCTTAAATTTAATAAAAGAAATTAATTTTTATTTAAAATTTCTTTTTCTTTTTGTAAAGATCAAAAATCTTTATTTTAATTATTATTTTCATTCATCAATGAAAAATATATCTATATATATATAATTATATTGATTATAAAGCTAAATTAATTTGAAATTCTATTTAATGAACTCCATTATTAACTATTGCTCCTTTCGTTGTTTTCTAAATTAGCTAATCTAAGAGGCATCTCGTTGTGCCCTACTTAAATCGTTCCGGTAGTAAGATTATATAAGAAGACGCAACCATTGAAATTAAATTGATCTTTAATCTTGGATCATTTTGCAAAGATCAAGCCGTGACATTTGTGTGTAGAATTGAATTGACCTTTCGAGGATAGTCATTGTCGTTATGCAACCTTCATTGTAAACGAACTCTTTATTTATTATAAAAAAAAAAAAAAGTAACGAGCGAATTTTCAAAATCTTTATAGAATCTTTATAGAATTTTTATAAAATCTTTATAGAATTGGATTAATTTCGAAGAAAATAATTTTTTATATATACATCGATGATTCGATTTGTAATAATAAATTCGTTATTTGCAATTATATATCTTATATATATTTATATATCTTGTCAAATGATATTAAACAAATATATATTTTTTAAGAAAATTTGCGTAGAGAAGTATTTTTTATTTTGTGAATACAAAATAATTTATAGAAATCGAAATTCGATGATACATTCTTCCGAGAAAGTAACAAGCATAATTGCCTTTCATAAAGTTACAGGAAGGAATAATTATATTTCTTAACCAGTATCTCTTTGCACTACACTCGTTTTTCAATTGTATCGTTACATTTTCTTGGCAATATTATCGCTTGCTTGCCCATTTGTATTATTCTAATACGAATATTTTGTAGAATTTTTAGATATCGAGTCTAAATTTCATTCACAATTTTCAATTTTTATATTATTACATTTTCCTTATTTGATTTACATGTTTCATATTATTATATGTACACATATATGTCACTTATATGTATTTAATTATTTACATTTATAAATTGTTTATCTATATATGTACGCTATATGAAAAATTAAAATTTAAACTTTGTAAAAAAAAATCTTTCTAAAAATTCGTAATATTATTTTTTGAGAATCTGGTAAGATTGATAGAAGAATAATTTTCACTCTTGCTCTGTATATTTCATTTTATTTTATTTTTTTTTTTTAACAATATGAAAAATGAAATGTGATGACTTACGATGAATTTTTCATGGTGATGGCAGATGAAAAAAAAAACTTTCCATTAATCACATCACAGATATTCACTAAAATTCACCGTGTTCTTTTATCACGGCCGTTTGACATTCTGCGAGGCATGCGCGAAACGTAAAACGATGGTGTTGGCTCGAGCACCGCGCGAAGACTGAACATCGACTTCGAATCACCTCAAAAGCGGCTTTGTACTGTTACCTAACTTCCCCGAGACAAGAGCAAAATCTCTTAGATCGGCACTCGTCTTGCTTTTTTTAGTCCTTTCTATTCGGTGATTATCTAAAAAAAAAAAAGAAAGGAAAAAAAAATGCAAAGAATATTGCTCCTTATAATTAGAATATCTTACATTTTTATCTGTTATTTTGTAATTGTTATTTTTCATTGTTATTCATTTAATGCTATTCATGTGTATCATTTTTTTTTTTTTTTTAATTCTTCACATCTGTTATTTACTAATATTTATTCATTGCTCGTCGTCTACTTGTTGCTAATTTATTTATTACTTCATTATTTACTAGATTTTACTATTTGTAAATTATTTACTATTCACTACTGTCAACTCTCTATTCATTATTATTTATTACTAGTATAGTTACTACCATCTGTACATCACTCACTACGTTACTGAGTTTTTGTTTTATTTATTATTTCGCTTGTTAGTCTCTAGTTACAACTCTCCATTTGTTATTTCCATCTATGTATCTTAAGGATATTTATATCTACATTTTCCTTTAACCTTTCTAAGGATTGAATTTCAATCTGCTTACCAAATGCAATCCTGTTTCTCCAGATAATATTGGCAATGAGAGATTTACCAAACAAATTTTTAACCTATCTGCATGCCATAAATGCCTTCACAATTGCACGTACTCACCATCTCCGCATTTCTATCGTTGGAATTCCCCATCCGGTTCGATAGGGAGAATCAGATCCGCAATAGTTCCGTGATTCGAGTAGGCAATAAACTCTTGTGCGTGGGCTTTCGTAACGTTCGACGTACAATAGGAATGAAATCATGCTCGAATATTTCCCAATTCGTTTAGAATTTATTATTATTATTATCTGTGACAATTTCCACTTTTGAATCTTTAAGTGAGTAGCCCTTGATGATAATCACAAGTCTCGTGTAATGCACCAAGTTTAAATAATAAAAGAATCCTAAGAGCTGTGGAGGAAGGCAGTACCTGTGAATGAGTGTAAACAATGTGAAAAAAATGTAAATATTTCCAACTGCAATATTTTCATGCTATCGAATTTCAAACTTTCTTTGTCGTTTGAAAGGTCGTATTCATTACTGTAAAATCGTGCTTTCGTCGAATTGTGTTACTTAATTCGAAAAGAATGAAAGTCAGCATCAGGATCGGTTTACAGTGAGTTAAACTTGTTGATGCCTGTTCGAGATGCGGATGTCCGTAAACTGGTATCTTTGTAGTCAGAAACTGGAATCTTTCAAGATCTTAACTCTGTTTTAGGAAGAAGGGGGTGAATTGTTTTGGCATTTGAAATATATATATATATGTATTTCCTAGTGATTTATTAAGGATTAAGAATTTATTAAAGGATGAATTTTGTTAAGTAAATTTTATTTATTAAATTTAAATAAATGTTAAATAATATAGGATATAATTAATAGTTTGTCATTTAAAAATCTTCTTTTCTCATTTAATAATTCTATATCTGGTAAAAGTTTTAACTAAAATAATAGATTATTTTTATCAATTATTGTAAGTAAAAGTAATTTCTAAAAGAGATCTGACTTCTACTTATATAATCATACTTAAATTTTTGTCTTCTTCCTTTAATTCAATGAACTTACGAGTAATTTTTATTTCTATCTCTTTCGTTTCGGTAGTTTATATAGTATTTTACAAAATAGCGGAAACAATTTAATATCTGTTTTTAGAAAATTAATGAGTTGTAAATGGCCAGAAAATATTATAAAGATGTTGTGATATTTCTTCCTTGTTACTTTCTTATAATGTTCCTTAAGTTATATGTTTGCTATAATTTGAAAAGTTAAAAATACAAATTTTGTATAGATTTTATATAATATTATATATATATATATATATATATATATATATTATATACTCAGTATTACATACCATATAATTCTCAACAAGAAAATAATAGAATTAAATAATGATTAAAAATGTTCAATATATAATAATATATATAATAATATTGACCATATACAAGTATTATATTTTCAAATCTAAATTTCACGTCAAAAACTTTCATCTTCCACTTGCCCATCTTAAAATCTTCTAGTTGTATCAAATTTCATCTTCTCCAAACCAGCTTATTACACAACTTTGAGCTACGTAACTAACGTAACACGTTACCAAATTATAAATTCTGTCTTAAGAATCAATTCAACGAGATAATTTCTCTGATTCAGCTTCATCTTACTCCATCATCTAATACTTACAATTCTCTCTTTCATCTGTCCTGAATAGAACAAGGAATCTACAAGAAATTTACCTTTGCATTCAAGCAAAAATCTTATTTTTACTCTTACTTATATTTGAAAAATTATTAATATTTTATTGAACTAATGCAACCATTTGTTAGTCAACCATTCATTTTCATTTAGAAAATAATATAAATACTGAATACCCTAGAAAGTTTGTAATAATTTCTCAAAAGCACGATTTTTTATTGCTATCATAAACACCTTGTCTGTCTGTTTTAGAGACTCGATAAATTCTATCTAAAAGAAATACGTGTTTTATATATATATATATATATATCGCGGTTTTTTAGAATAAAAGATTTAGACAAAGATTACAAGTTATCGTGTATCCTGTTGAGAGTGCTTCTCACGTTCTAACGTTCCCTGCATTTGGAGGAACCGTGCAATGCCCTTTAACGGTAAAGGTGAACGGCACCTTTAAAAGGGCGTTCGTTTTGACATGAAACACCAGTAGATAGAGAATTCTGGTCGAGATATCCGATCAGCATAGATACCATCTCGAGAGCGGTGCACTCTGCTATGTAAACATTTCGTGAACCTCTCTCTCTCTCTCTCTCTCTCTCTCTCTCTCTCTCTCTCTCTCTCTCTC